CATAGGATAAGACCTTACCGCAAACTCTTCTGCTTTGTGCACAGGGTAAGCCTTTACTGGGTGTACAGGTGGGTGTACGGTTATGGGGAACCTATACATTCTGGTGATCGGATGGGGGTAATGTTCATATTTTGAAAACATGTCTAATAAATTGATTTTACTGAAAAATATTTTATTTGTATATTTTTATACATCGTAAGGAGCACACTGAGCTTTTTAGCTCATTTCGTAAATTTTAACCTTTTCAGATAACAACATACTAGGCTAGCAGACTTGGCATCAGGAGGATCGACTACTCCTACTTTTGTACTACTGTATATCTCTATATGCATTATTACTTTGGTGACACATGTTTTTCTACCGTCTTGATATATCTGTATTACCGGTATTTTTTCCGTAAAAGTTTCATACAGTTTTCTGATATATGTATATATATAAATTTATCGTATGAATCCTTATCATGAATAAATTTCATATTATAATGTTATATGGATTTAACGCTGTTTTAAATATAAAAGAATTTTTGAATGCGATATGTGACCGTCTAGATTTGAGCAAAACATCCAGGCCGAGTTTAGAGGGTTACAATCTTCTGTAAAAGAAGATTTGGCCCCTTAATAGCACTATCCGTAATAAAATCGATCATGGAAGCAAAGTTGAGAAAAGCACCCAACGCCACTCACCTCATGATCCACCATATCTGCCACAAACCTTTCCAAAATTAAACATAGTATGTGACAATACATGTTTGATTAAGGGACCTATTTCGGGACCCAATCATCATGCCAGAAATCACATTCATCCATTACCAATACTCCAACACATGTTATCACAGACATCACTCCAAATAATCCCAATATCTCCATAATCTTGAACAACTACCACGGCGTAAATAAATCGAAATACAATCCTCACATTTATATTTAGCACAAAGGAAACAGAACCATGAGGCGTCTTTTTTCGCGACTAAATTAAATGCCAATTTCACTTAAATGCTTTATTTTGGATATTCATCGACCAAAATCAAGTCCTCCTTGCAAGTCAGCCTACAACGTCTTCCCAGCGAATAAAGATGAACACCCTTACTATCCGTCACTATCCCCTAAATGAACCGGTGATTAGGTGCTCTAATTCAACATAATTTTTTTAGGAAGCCCCTTCGTTTGCATCGTAAAGACGGAATTACTGATAAGACAACTTTGGAGAGGGTAATTCTCCCATCAGGGAAATAGTTTGTCTTCCACGCACTTAACCATTTATGTACCATTGCAGCAAATATAGAAAGCCGCCGTAACCCTCGAGTAAGGAAGAGGAACACCCAAGTATTTCCCAAGATTCGAGAGCTCAATGAAGCCCAAGGACATGCTTATATGTGCTCGAATATCCAGGGAACATTTTGGAAAAGTACAAAGTAGTCTTTGCAATACTCACTTTTAAACCCGAAACACGTACCACTGCTAGTTGATCAAGAGAAGCTTCCGCAAACAATATCATATTGTCTGCAAAAAAAGAGATGAGAAATTGTCCGACATCGCTTTAAAGTACGAAAGGGCTGCCATCGATGATTATTAACTTCAATTTGAATTCTTTGGGCAGACGTTCCATACACGAGATAAAAAGATACAGGGAAATCAAATCACCTTGACGGATACCCCTAGAAGATTTGAAAGTCCATCATCGACCATTCCAGAGAATTTATGTAGAAACAGAGAATACACATTGCATTGTAAGATTACGTATGGAATTAGGAATCCGATGTCCTGAAAGTATCATTAATAAATCCTCATTCTAAACGATCATACGCCTTTTCTAAATTGATCTTGATCGTCATCCATCCATGCTTCCTAGTTCTTCTCCATTGTATGAATGTCTTAGGAATTATAATATTATCCGTAATTGATCGATAGAGAACAAAACTGGTCCAATTTCGAAACCCACATTGGAAAGAAACAGTTTTAGCCTGTTCACAATGATCTTTGTGATGATTTATAAAAACCGTGCAAATACTAATTGATGAAATTGATTAATCCCAACCGGAGAGGAAACTTAGGGAGAATAACCAACAAAGTTTTGCTGAACGAGTCATGAAGTACCCCATCAGTAAAAACTCTTTCATACAATCACATACCATTGACCCACAGTACCCCAATTCGTCTGAAAGAAACCTGCATTAAAACCATCCATACTCGGAGATTTCAGCGGTCCCATATCAAAGAGAGTAGGGGTGTTCAAAATTCGGTTTTAACTGAATTAACCGATCGAACCGAATTAATCGAATTAATTCGGTCGGAGAACGGTTAATGATTTTTTTGGATATTCGATTAACGGTTAATTCGGTTTGAAATCGGTTAATTAACCAAATTAACCTTTAAATATAATTATATAACTTTGCCAACACAATGCCCCAATCCATTTAAAACCCATTTAAAACCCAATTCAATTTTAATTAATTAAAATAATCTAAAAACTAAATATAAACCTTTCAATCTCATCTCACCAGTGACCCGAGCTTTCATCAAACCCTTATTCTCTCTCTCTCTCTAATCTCAGTTATGCTCTCTCGATTCAGGTTAGCTTCCTAACTTCAAAATTCTAGATATCTTTGATTAGTTTACTTCCCCTAAAAATTTTAATTACTTGTTTGATTTAGGGTTTGTGATTTGATATCGTTTCTGTGTTTGGGATTTTTGCTCTTTTCTTTCATTTGTTTAATGTTTCTGAAATTTGTATGATTTTTTCCTATCTATTAGTTATCACTCGAATCATTAGTACTATTTCGTTAAGTCTCGTTTTTATTTGAAACATATGTTGATCGGTTGGTTTGATTTCATGATTTAAACTATTTTGATTTGATTTGATTTTGATTCTATTAACTTTTGTTCCGTTATCCTTCATTTTTGGATTTGGATAATATCGATCTGAGTGTTTTCCTCACTTAAAATTATATGTATATCCAGCCTTCTTTTGTTTTTAAAATTATGTCGAGTAACCCCGTTCTACCTCTGTAAACCCAACATTGGCAAATAGCCCAAAGATATGAAAAATTGCATGAAGCTTTCTTTTATTTTAACAACAACACTTATTACAAGATTACTTAAAAAATTAAACTTTTTTTATTATGGGAAGGGAAGCAATATTCTGCAACATTACATACACTTTACAACAGTCAAACAATGAATAAGTGATGATTATAGTTCAACTACATTATCATGGAGTATATCCCATGTTATCCTCAATCTTGAAATGCATTACAACCTACCCTAAATTCATGAGCTTATAGGATTCTGCACTGGCATCACTGTGAGCATAAGTTAAGGATATACATTAATTGTAAATTGCATTATTGCAATGTACTTTTTAGTTTATATATGGTTTTTATACTATATTTTTAGTTTTAAAATATATCTTTTTATTGGAGAGATATTGTATATGAAATTTTTTTGGGAGATTCAATTGGTGCAAATGGAGTATTTGAATACTGTTTTTTTGTGGTAATTTCTTCTCATTACATTCTTTTAATTTCATTAGCCTGAGTAGTTACTAGTTAGCACAGATCTTGATGAAGTGATGATGTTTACTGAATAGATTGTATTACATTAGTTCAGTTAGCTTAGCACTTATAATTTTAGCATTGGTGATACTTAGATATATTTGATATTTATACCTTTGATTGTTTTTATTTTTTTGATGGTTCGTACTGATTTGCATCTCTTTATTTCTATGTTGTGTACTGTGCAGGTAATATGTTCTCTTAAGATATGAATTGTTCTGCACTTAATAAAGAACATCTTGGTTGGTATGGTAGCAGTAGTACACTTAGCAGTTAGCACAACCTTCACGCACCAACACTTTAAGTGTAAACTGTTTATATAAGACTGAATTATGCTTCCAGTTATGCACTTGTTCTGATTTATTTGTAGAACTGCAGTATTATTGGGTTTTTTAAACTAAATTGATAGATACAAATATCTTATTTTTAATATAATGTTTTGAATCAAATTAATTAGATATTGTAAAATGTTTTTTAATTAAAAAAGTATTAAATTTGAAAATTATAAAAATTTCGGTTAATTTTCGAATTAACCGAATTAACCGAAATTTATTCGGTTCGGTTAATACTTTCATAAAAAAAGTTTAATTAACAGTTAAAGATTTTTTTTGGTTAATTCGGTTGAAGGAATTTCAATTCGGTCGGCCACCGTTTTAACCGAATGAGCACCCCTAAAAGAGAGCATGTTTAATTTCAACATTCGAAATCGGATCTTCCAATAAAATATAAAAATAAATTCTAATATTAAAATAGTACAAGAACTGAAATACATTTAAACATAAAATATTTCAAAATTATGAAAAATATAAATAAGGAATTCTGCGAAATACCACGGTGCGGGGGACAGTTCTGCGGTGCGACGCCTTATACGACTACAATAAGGCGTTACGGTTTTGTTATTATTTTAAATAATCAAACCGATAAAAAATAACCGAAAACATCATTATTTTGGCCGATTCTAATTACCTATATAGATAAACAAGGTAGAAAAAATTCGGTCAAAACATAATGTTTTAGGTAGTACTTTAACGAAAACATCATTTTTTAACCGGATTTTATTTTACCACGTTTATCTATACAAATAATTATAACCGATCAAAATAATGATATTTTTGATATTTTTTATTAATTTTATTATTAAAAATAATAACAAAACCGATAATACCTTATTTTAATCTTATACAAAGTCGCTGTACGTTAGCGTTTTCCTGCCGTACTCAAATTTGCACCAAAAATGGAAAAGAGTAAAAGCGCGTGAATCCCAGATGCGGGACACCGAATATCCCAATTTGCAGAGAGGAAAAAAATATATGGTTGACATTGGGCAAAGATATTATCGTTCTTGATGACGTGGCATATAGCGATGGTATTTGACACGTGTAATGCGTCGCCATGTGGAGTCTTTATTGGCTTTCCCTCCCCCACCTCGACATCGCCGGCCTCTCTCCATTCTCTCTGCTATATTGAAGGTGCCATGTTTTCCCTTTTTCTAAAGTGAAATAATTCTCACGTTTTCTTGTTCAATTTGAAAGAAAATACAATGGGAGATCATCTGCGGCTGAGTTTTCCGTTTGCGACTCGGCGCTTTTTGGATCCTCAGCCTCGTGTACTTGAGTTGACTCGAACCGACTCGGATTCCTCCGACTCAGGTGTTACTATTCAGAGCTTCAGAGATCCTACTGCAGATGCACAACAGGTAGTTTCTCTTTCTAATTTTACCTTTTATTTTTCCTTCAAAGTTTCGGATTATGGTTTTGCATTTGTTATTCTTCCTTTAGAAAATAGTACTTAGTTTTTAAGTGTTATATAATAATTCTAGAATATTGTTTTGACCGCAGATAATCTGTTAGTTTAAAAAAAAATAATGTTTGAATAATTTCTGTTTGAAATCTATATAGGAAAAACTAGAGAGTTGTGAGCTCTTCATTGAAAAGAGTGCAGTTAATATTATTCTTTTTCAGTTTTCTTGTTTTTCGAATATAGAAGTTTTATTGTTAAATTCAAACATAACAAAAGCACTTAGTAATGCTTTTCTGGAATACAGCGACACTATTTTGATGAGTTCCTTTGAGTTGCTTAAGTTTTGAATTACCGATCCGTAATTGAGAAACCAGTTTCTGTGAATCTTATATATTAGGTATGATTAGCGGGTCTGGAGTGGAGAAATGGAATTTCAAACTTGCAGTTCTATAAAAGTATACTATATTCTCTATGGGTTCATATTTTGCACTGAATCATAGAACAAAAGTTTTGGTGTCTATTAACCTCATACTTGCTTGATATTTGTGGGGACCAAAACTATTGGAAGCAGTTCCTGCTGAAAGGTTTAAGAAAGTTTGCCCACGATATTAATGAAAAATGTGATATAATTTTAAACCATCCCCTGCAAAGAAAAGCTGATGAGCTCCAAGCAGCTTTTTTTTTACCTGGATGTGATTTCTAGCATACCAAATGAACCTGAGAGAACATAGCAACCCTTTGTTCCCTCTACAAGACAATATGGTTAATCAAGGTGCCTTAATTGTTAATTTGGCGTTTGTTTTTCTTTTTCTTTTGAAAGAAATTTAGTTTCTGATCATTTAATAGTGGAATTGAAGGCTGGATGTAGGTTAAAGTCAAATTTCTGGGTTCTAGTTAGAACTTAGAATTGGTTACATTTTTGTTTGAGATTGGTCAGGAATTGGTTACATTTTTGTTTGAGATTGGTCAGTTGTAGTTTTGGCATTATATTTTAAAATTGTTTACATTTTCATGTTCTTTTATATTTGAGGAACTTTTTTTTAAAGTAAAATCTGAAGTTTATATTAGGCATTTACCTTTGGAAAAGTATCTCACTTTCTAAACTGGTATGCAAATAAGGCTAATGCTAGGATTTTGGAAAATAGCCTATGCACCATTCTCTTTGTCCGAGGCTATGCTTTTGGTTTACAAGGGTATTAATCCTAAATGAAAGTAGATGTTTTTCACTTGGATTAAGTGATTATTTAACTTGTTTAAGTTGATCCTCCTCCATGCTTTGCTATTTCTGTGGTTCCTTGCTTCCTATAGAAATATTTTGTTTGCCTTTTTGATGAAGAAAAGGTTTGTACTTGTTATTTATGACCCTTGGGATCTAGTTCCCTCTAGATCTTTAGCATGCTCTTGTGCCCTTTATTTATACAAGACCATCATTTCCTTGTTCAAGTTCGTATATAAGATTGTGTTCTGCTAGAGGTAGTTAGGTTCCCTGTAGAATGCCTCAAATTTGTCGTGTTCATTAGTTTTTTTCTATCAGAGATTTCTTATCAGCAGCTTTAATTGTCCTGTCATCCAAGTTCCTCATGTTTTTGGATTGCGTTTCTGGATTCCTTAACTTTTAACTGCAATTTCCTCTTGGTCACCAACTAGTGCTTCTAACCTAGGCTAAGTATTTGTCAGCACCTTTTCCATCTGTTTCCTAATAAAATCTATCTGAGAAATCCATAAAAGTCAGCATGGTTTGGGTAGAACCTAGTTGTATAAAGCTGTCGTGATTTAAAAACTATTAGAAAATGAGTTTTTGTTTATCTTAAATTCTAACTTCAAATTTACATAGGATTTGGTTTTATCTTTTTAGATAATAAGTTTTCTTAGGAGATAAAGGTTAAGAAAAAGATACCTAGTTAAATTCTACTTTTGTAATTCTCAGCCTGTAAAAGCAATTCGAACAGAACTTAGGTTCTCTCTTCATTCAAAATCTCCCTTCTATCTTCTTGGAATATCTCTTCCATTCTTCTTCGAATATTCACACTAGCAGAATCTTACTTCAGCTATTCGGGCTCCCTGTGGATTGGATGGCAAGTTAAAGATTGTCCTCTTGCTGTACGAAACCATTTTTTTATTGATTAGCGTTATATAAATGGTTTAATTTGTCCTCTGCGTGCAATATGTTTTATTCAATTTTTCTCTTTATTATAAAGCTCTCATTTCCTCGTGGTTCAGCTTTAATATTTTCCTGTGTTATTTTAATTTTTAATGTAGCAGGGAAACACTATGGTTTGGACAAATGAGAAGCACAACTCTTATCTTGATTTCTTAGAAGCATCATTTGTAAAGAAGTTGCATTATTCTAAGAGTTTACATGGCTGTCACCAACAAATGGGAATGTGGAACAATGTCCATTCCCACAACAGCCACAAGAAGGACATCATTCTTCTCATCAGGTCGGAGACTGAATCTACTTGTGCCTTCTTCTCGTTAGGGTTATATCTCAATTAACTATATCTCAATTAACTGGCTTGCTTCAATAATTTATCTTCATTTCGTTTCAGTTTTCAGTACTACGAGTGGCTGTGGCCAGAAGATGAACCATAAGAGTCATGACCATTTCTTGGAAAGCACAGCTGACTCTGGTGCTGTCATGGAAAGTCCAAGGTTAGGTTTAGGTCTGCAGACAAAAGCAGCATAACATTCCTGTTCCAAGAGAAACTGTGGTTCCCAGTGATGGAATATACTTGGGAAGTAGTACAAACTTTTCTTGCAAATCAGCAGTAAATTCAGAGCAGAATCCCATCATTGATCCATGCAATCACAGCCTGGGTAGCTGCACCGCAGGTAAATCTACTTATAAGCCTCGATCTATTCCTCCCCCCCCACAACAACCCACCCACCATTCACATCTATTTTGAGTTTCCATATTCCGTGCTAGTCGTGCATGCTTTTACCATTGCACTTCCTCATACGCATGCCTTAATTTTCTGGAAATTTCTGAACACAGGCATGTTTTCTTCTCCTAGTATGCTTTTGATGGAAATGTTTCATGGATGAACTTTATGGGTTCTGTTACTGACTTACTGGTTTGACCAGTCACCAGTGAAGGCTTGATGCTTTAGCTATCTTTCTCTCTATCTAGACTTTGCATGATTGGTGAAAACAACTTGATCTTACATATTTTAAGTCTTGTGGGCAGTTGCCTTTATTCTGCACTGCCTCCAAATTTCACAGTTAATGTACTGTTCATACGTGTGTGGTGTGTGCTTGCACATGGATTTCGTTGTTTGTTACTAGTAGCTTTAAATGACGGATTTCAAGGAGGGAGGACCTACAGACGATGTTTTTTTATTAGAATAGACTGGATGCAGTACTTGGGCTGGGACATGTGTGGAGGGGTGGCCCTACACTTCATCCAAACAGACTCAAATTGCAGAGATGCCATGTGGGGCATTGTGTTTCAGTCAGATCAGGCTAAAAGGAACGTAATGAAATGATCAGGATTTGCAGTACTAAGTTGAAAGGGAACTTTTATGAATGGTTTGCTAGTGGAGCCCTGCTTTATCTACCAAGAGCTGGGGCGGCTAAAACATCTTGATAGTTGTAGTAAGGTTATGAGCTTATACAAGAAATGACAGGATCATAGTAAAATGTTTGGTAAAAGCACCAATTACCTAGTCTTTTAGATGTTTGGTCATCTGCTTATGGATCTTAAAATTTTTATGAAATAAGAGTGTTTAGATGGGAATGAGTTTAAGTACTGAAAAAGATTTGTAGCTTTATATTCTATCGGTTTTAGCCATAAACCTCTGTCTTGCGTATTATATGGGGTTTCTAAATGGGTTACTATCAGAAATCATCCAACTGATTTATAAACCTATTGGCTATTCCTTTGTATCTGTGACTTGAGGATTTTCTGGCCATTGGATACATTTCCTTTGCATGTTACTTGAGAGGATCATGTTTATATTATTTTGTTTATTCCCTTGGAGAATTTTCAACCTTTTGCTGATGTGTATTGATTGCTTTTTTCCCCCCTTTTTTGTTTAACTGAAGTATTTAGTCTTTTATAGAAGCCTTAGATCAGAATTTTGTGGATACCAAGAAGAAAAGACTAGCTGTATGTCGGGGGCAAAACGCTTGAAGATGACGACAGTTCTTAATGCTTCAAGTAACAGTCAAGTAATGATAAAACTTTGTGTCTTCGACATGTATTCAAGATTTGACTTATTCAACGATGTTTCGTGTTTTGGAAATCTCACATTTATTATTCAAGAATGCATATTCAGGTTGCCCCAGTTGGAAAATTACATACAACGGATGACTCGATGATCAGCTATATGTCTGCAAAAAGAGGTAAAAGGAAATTACTGTCAGATCATCCAGAGAGCTTGACGGGCCCAAGTCTGACATACATTACTTTCTAAGGGAGAGTTCAATTGCTACACTGAACTGAAGCACTGATACATGTTTAACCCAACATATGGAAACAGATTGAGCAAGTTTTCCTCGACTGGTTGCTTGAAGAACAATTTTGTGCATTCATTAGAACCCTTTCTTTCACCCTTTGTTATGGGATCTGCATTAAAAATTTAGGATTGACATTGACCTAAACTTGCATGCTAACTAACTTGTAATGGTTAGTGATGTTAATTCTTGATGCCTAAGCTGTATGTTTCTCTGAGATGTGTAATAGCTCCATTGTATTTTGGTAGTGAATGTAAATTCAGATTTTTTGAACATGCTGTAAATTATAGAAAACAAAGAAATTCCTATGGTATTGTTATATCATTGAGCTATATCGAAGTGTTATTTGTTAGGTATGTATTGTGTTTATTGGTGAATAATAGAGAATTTTCCTTGTATGAATTGTTTTTTGAGTAATCTGGGATAAGTACAAGATAATATATGTTTAAATATAACTCTCAGCCATTTGACATTGAATGCTAAAACTTTTTATATTCATGGTGTTCGAATCTGAGACCTCAAGGAATGACAACAATTCCTTGTATGAATTGAATATGCATTTTCTTGCATCTTTGTACTTTTCTTTTTAGCAACTGAAGTAGAAAGAAAAGGGAAAATCCCAAAAGCTAGTTTGGTTGGAAGTGGGTTTTTGTTAAGCTATGATTGGCAATTTGATATCATTACGATTACTATATGCATTTATTATTGTTCTAGCTAATCGAGTTGAGCTAATAGCTGTTTGTCTTGTGGTAACCTTTTAATAAGATAAACTAACATACTCTTCCTCATGAAAACAAATACTGGAGCAAGTACCTAACATTCTTGGAATTATCTGTTCAAAGGTCTAATTATTATACTAGGCATATGATAATCTGTTGGATTTTAGGCACGATATATATTTCAATTTTATTATAATTTTTTTTCTTTAAAAAAAACTATAGTTTTACAAGGAATTGACTTCGTCAGCCTACGTACAAAATTGGAATTTTGGTGGATTTGCGGGGAATATTCATACAGTTGTTGAGTTTTGGGGTAAATTCTTATTGATATGTTTTTAATAGAATCAGATAATTTTATTTAAAAGAAGAAAAATTTAGAATTATAATGAATGTCTGTATCGATAATTATAAACTAAATATATAATTAGGACATTTTTTTATAACTATTGACACAAAAAGTTAGTCATTTAAGATCACACAAGGATCATAACGGAAAAAGTTAAAAGAACTTATTTAGAAAACTCTAATAAATGATAAAGATCACATAAGGATCATAACGAAAAAGTTAAATAGTTTAAAGAACTTATTTAGAAAACTCGAATAAATGATAGATAGATATGAATATATCTGATCGTATCACCAGTAGTTTTAGGGTTAATAATGATATTTTAGCAATAAATCCAATAAATCTAAGTGTAGTCTTTGGTGTATTGATTTTTTTGGAAAAAGGAGGGCACCATTTATCATCGAAGACTTTTGTCCGAAACTCTCTCTCTCCTTTTTCTTGATCAATAGCTTTTTTTCTTTTTTGCTTTTTCTTGACTTCTTAATCTTAATTAAAATTTTAATATTAAAAAGTTAATTTAATATTGTTGAATCATGTTTTATAATATTTTGATATAATAAATTAAGACAAAATTTTTTTGGACTTGATTGAATTTGTTCAAAATTTTCAAAGATAATTCAAAGTTCATTAAATTAGAATTTGAGCACAAAACAAGTTTCCTGGGTACATAGTACCGATACTGTTCTTACAATATTGATACTACATGAACAATACTGATACCAAAGGTAAGAGAAGTATCAATACTCTCTAGGTAGTATTGATACTACTAGATGATTTCCAAATTGCTCAAATTCCAGAATGCAAAATAGGTATCGATACTCAAGGGGGTACCGATACTACTTTACACAGTAGTTTATTTAAAAATTAAAAAGGTAGTACCGATACTCATTAAAGGAGTATCGATATTCCATGTCCCGGGTAATTTTATTTGCAGAAAAGTAATCTCCAACGGCTAAAAACAACTACAACTCATTCAAACATATAAAAATAAGTTGAAGACACTTGAAGAAGGTTGGAACACCTATCCAAGCAATCAAACACAAGAGAAAAGCTTTTCATTCTTATTTTCCTTTATCTTGTAATATTAATGTTTTGTGAGCTTAATTTTGTAAACACCTACCTTGTGAGGTTTTCTTGTTTACATCTTGTATTCCTTTTGTAAAGGGGAGTGGTTCTATCTTAGCCATTGAAAACATAGGGATTTGTAAATGTTCTCTTTGTCCTGGAAAAAGAAAGAACAAATTAGTGAATTTGTTAGAAAATCCTTGGTGAGGAGCTAAGGTAGTGGATGTAGACTTGGTTTAGAAGTCGAACCACTATAAACCTTTGTGCATCAAGTTTCTCATTCTTAAATCTCCTTAATCCCTAAATTTTTTTCTCAAATGGAAAAAATTATTCGGTTGTTTAATTTGAGCTTCATCGAAATCCCAAAAATTGGTATCAAAGATTGACTCATTAGAAGGTCTAACAACATTAAGACAATCCTTGAATAAGTTTTACCAATTTCTGACACAACCGAGAAAGATGACTTTCACCTCCGGCTCATACTACATTGAAGATTCTCAACGGGTCAACAAGCCACCTTATTTCAATGTAGCAAATTATGCCTATTGGAAGAATTGGATGATGCTCTTCATTCAGGCCAAAGATCTAGGAGCTTGGAACTCAATTATGAAAGGATACTCCATTCTAACCGATGAGATGGATAATTGAAGCGATGAAGAGAAGAAGAAGTTCCAACTCAATGTAAAGGTTATGCACATTCTATTTTGTGTATTAGCCCCAGATGAATATGGAAGAGTCTCCTCTTATTCTAATGCCAAGTAGATTTGGGACAAGCTCCAAGTCACTCACGAAGGAACCAATGAAGTGAGGGAAACAAAAATTAGTCTTCACATTCATAGCTATGAGAATTTCAAGATGAACCCGAATGAAGACATCAAAGCTATGACAGATATATTTTCTGTGATTGTCAATGGTCTCAAGGGATTTGGAGAAGTTAACCCTAATGAGAAGTTTGAGAAGATGATTTATTCTCTTCCAAAGTCTTGGAAATCGAAGAAGACAACAATAATCGAAGTTAAAACCTAAAGTCTCTCACTCTTGATGATCTTATTGGTTCTCTTCTCACTCATGAGTTTGATGATAAAGGAAGAGAAGAAGAAAAAATAAAAACAAGAAGAAGAAGGTAGGCATTGCCTTCAAATCCACTAATGAGAGTAATCAAGACACAAGTGAAGAGGTGGATGAAGATGAACAAGAAGAAGAGAGATGGCCAAGCTTTTCAAAAGATTCAAGAGATTCACGATTTCTAAGTAAGTGAAACATGAATCAAGGAAAAGAAGGGTCCCTCGGTGTGCTTCGAATGTCAAAGAACGGGGGGCATATAAAGTATGATTGTCCCCTCCTAAAGAATAAGGGATCAAGTAAGAAGAAGGAATTTGTGGTAGTTTGGAGTGATGAAGATGACTCCAATGATGAAGATGAAGTAGCCAATCTATGTCTCATGGCCATTGAAGAAGATTTAAAGGTAACTTCTAGCTCTAGTGAATCAAATTCCTATTCTTTTAATGAGTTACAAGTTGCATATGATGAATTGTATTTGGAATTTGAGACTATGAATTTAAAATATAAGAAACTGATTTCAAAATTCAAAGTTGAAAATGATTTTCTTTTGAAAGCAAAATTAGATTTTGAAAAACAAAATGAAATTTTGAAAAATGATTTTGAGCTTTCAAAAACCAAAATTGAAGATTTGGAAAAAGAAAATATTGAATTGAAAGTTAAGATTGAATGCTTTAAAAAAGAAAAAGAAATCATTTCTAAAAACAATTCATCTATGTTAAAAATGACAAAATGCTCACATTACCATTTTCATGGTCACTATGTACATACTTGTCCTATAAAGAAGAAGGATGGGTAACCTCTAACCTTAAAGCTTTTTGATTTTGTGAATTGGTTGCGTATTGATTTTTTTATGCATGCATGAGTTTTGATTTTAAATGATTTATGTTTTCTATCTCATGTATGTTAAAAATATGTTATGATGGACAATTTAAAGTTTTAATGATTTTTCATAAATGTTTGTTCCCATATGAATTTTTGTCAAATTTGTTTCGCATGTTGTTTTAAACAATTTTCTTATTTTTGATCTTAATTTAAATGTTTATGCTGTGATTTTATGTCATTTTAACCTCATAAGGGTATTTTCATAATTTCTTAACCAGGTGATTTCAGTATTAAAGCTTTTAACAAGATCAAATAAAATTTAGAGATTCTGAGGTTATTTTTTTTCCAGATAATCACCAAACTTGAAATCATTCTTATCAGTCTTCTTGTGTCTAAGCTTGTAGTCCGAGCCTATTCAGTTTACTTTACTTTATTTCACACTTGGATCGAGTTTAGAAAGTTATCACTACATACATGTGACCATTATACTCATCCATGTAGAAATCAATACCAACATGTTCCATAAAGCATGAAATAGGTAGTAATGTATTACCTCGGTTTCTGTGACATACCAATTAACCATTTAAACTCCATTTGATCACCCTTGAACTTGAATTCAACGTCCAATATATCTCGGATACATAACAACAAAAATTACATTAGAAACGGATCTTAATTGCGAAAAACGGATCGAATCGGGTGGTTAATCAGTGAAAACAACTTACTGAGTTTGAATTTGGCAAAACATACCTAAAAAACGGACTGAAGATGTCGAAAAACATCAGAATAGGTGAATTTGGAAAAAGTCAACGACCGGTCAACAGCTCACCTAGGCGGCTCGACTCGACTCACTCTGCTTGGCTCGGCTCAGCTCGG